TATATATATATATATACAGATGTATTCGCCATACATTGTTACATGCGATTATTCACGAAAGCGTGCATTCAGACCGGAGGAGAGCGGGCGGACCGGATCTCGTCCGTTAGGTCTGTCTGACTTGTCCCGGATGGCAAACCGAGGGCGAGATTACAACGCCATCCGCCTTTCTCCTTGCTGTCGTGCTGCTTACGTTGTCGGAAACACAGGACTTCCCGCAAAGATGTCACTATCCGGACGAATATCAGCGGTATGTTCCGAAAGCCACTTCCGCCGAAAATGGAACGCACATTCAGAAGTTGGCACGGGGCTCATCCGGAAATCTCGCAATGTCATATATATTTTCGGGTGGAAATACGTTTGCCGATTGTGCCGCTCGGTGTCTGATACGTCGTAAAGATCTATTTGGACAAAATAAGTCTTGATACACAATATCATACCGTAACGTGCCAAAGTTGTGTCATTTTTTATGCGCGTTTTTATAGCTAATATTTGTGATATGACACTGTAAATCAATTTTTTTAAATATAAATTTCTCAGTTTAACATTGTTTGTATTATAAATGATTACAGTAATTATTTCTCCCCTAAATATAGCTTAATCCTTTGTGAGTCCACATATTTTGTAAGCACTTTGGAGTCTTTTTTATTCAGTCTTTTTATTCAGTTTTTGTTACTGTTTCAGACTTTTAAATGATCTAGAAAAAAATTCAGGATTACATTTTAACTTCTCTGCTACATTGCTAAATATATTATTTAACTTAAATATTACAATCTTTATTTAATAAAATTTGAATAAAGTTTGTGACAAGAAATTTGAGAGCAGAATTTTGCTTGGATTAAAAAAGAGCTCAATGTGCTTACGAAGGGTTAATTGTTTCAGATTTCCTTTCATTTTCAGAAATTTAATGAAGGATTTTTCAAACTTAAATGAACAATTTTTCAGAAACTTTAATGAAAAATATTAAATAGTGTGAGTGAAATTAATTGGGAAGTGATGTCTTTTTTGTTTATTCGCGACTGTATTTTTGCGCGCTAAATCGATATTTTGAATAAAGGAAAGTCATCTCGGTTCTTGGCGGATAATGTCCTATTCATCAAACGTACTTTTACTATCGAATGGCCCTTATAAAAGACAATTTCGATATATAACCGAGTATTCTCGCATATTCCGCGTATTCACAGGCGAGGCGCATTGCGACACGTGCTCGTATTAAGATTGTCGTTTGCACCGACCTAACGTCATTCCCTCGGTCCGGGTGCGGGTCGTATTCCACAGGAATGATGAGCATGCATGTCGCTCGTTTCGCACACATGCACGAGCACGCAGATGCAGCAGGTGCACCGTGCATGGCGGCTTATGTAGACGCTCGCGTTTATTACGTCGCGAGGCAACGGAATCTCCGCCCGTCGATTGGAGTTTCGAACCAGAAACACCCTCCGAAGCTCGAAGCGAACTCGTAAAGAATCCAAGCGTACTCGTTCCACCGTTCGTCTCGTCCGTCTGCAGTTACCGCAGATCGACGCAAAATTTCTCTGTGTTACATAGCTGCTCTGTGACACACGAGAGGTCTCATCGTGGATTGGCCCAATGGGATTGGAAACGAATCTCGCCATTGCACATTTCGTAGCTTCATGACTGCGTGACGAATTCTTGCTTTCCAATGTCGCTTTTGGTCGAAAACATTTATTGAGTAACAAATAAATTGGATAAACTAAATATCTAGAACGTTGAACGTGGACGATCGATTGAACCGCGCGGTTCGGTTTTCGGTATGAGATATATTTCAATTTTCAACATTAATTTTATTTCAGACGGTAAATTTGTCTCGTGTAACACCAGCCGCTCGTTTTTCTTGCAGGTTTACGAGATGTACGTGACGGGTTATCAGTTCAAGGTACTATCACCGGTATTTACAGGCCACTGGGGACTACAGACCAGGAAGACCAGGCCCGCTTGGCGCGAGCGTCAAAACAGTGCCAACAGGAAACAATTCGAGACATTCAAAAAGGAAGTATTCGCTCGTTATATGCGAGATCCGCTGAAAATGATGAAGAACGCCAACTGACGAAAGATTCATCGAGGATCTCATTGATGATTTGAGACTCCTCCATTGATTAAGTTCGTCCTTAGGCTTAACATCGAGAAATCCAGAGTAGTATTAGGCCTCTGGCTACTGTTAGTGCTCACCACGTAATGTAGTTAATAGATTCGAAGTGTTTTTCATATGATCGAACGAGTCAACGAAGAATTCGCCCGTCTAACATTCCTTTTTTATCTTCTACTATTATTTCATTACATTTTAATGTATCATGTAGATCTGATAATTTTCACTCTCTCAATTTTATTTAATTTTGATATAAATTTGACTTATAGAATCACTTTTTCATTCAACGATGTGATATCAATTTGTTTGTTATATAAACAAGTATTTATACATTTTAAAGCACGATAATGCAGAATAGATAGAAATTTTTGACGAAGGATTGTCAATCTTATCCTTCGAAGTGGGAACAATGATGAAATCCGTGTTAAATGCAACGATGAAGTGCCACGATATGCTCGAGAGAACAGATGCCAGATCGGCTGCGATCAGCGGATTTGCGCTACTTATCGAGCCTTCTAGTTCAGCGATTCCGCTAGCCGGAATCAACCGCGAAAGCTCTTGTTACTTCCACTCACGATTTCCCAAAGTCATCAGAGACCCGCCATGCGGGATCGCGGAATAAATATCTCGTCGTGAGTTTCGCGGCACGTACTCGCGCACGACTAGCGGGAAAACGAGGGCAGGGAATCTTAAGTGAGCGTACCTCGTTAGCTGTCTGGGGCTTAAGAGGGTGGCGTTTAAATCCAAAATCGATACTCCGCTTGACGCTACTAGCGTAGCGCTTTGAACATAAAATAAACAAATGGCATAAACTGTCGTCGTGGCGTATGGTCTCGGATTTGTACTGATAGAAGACGCGAAGGTAATTTACAATATATATGATATCTCTCGAGTCGCAGTACTCTTAATCATTAGGTTCTTCGATTAATATCCAAATTAATTTCTTTCTCTTATAAAACACGGCACCAATAATCTTTTAATTATAAGAATTTGATAATTCAGGAAACTTTACGATTTAAACATTAGGATGGAAAATAGACAATAAAAAATTTCAGAAGGTATATACTTTGGCCGAATTTTAATTTATGATATAACAATTAGATTAGATAATTTTCATATAATCGTTAAGTTAATCGAATTTAAATAATTTGTAAATAATGCAAGGAATGCAAGGAATTTCAAATATTATCATAGATAATCAAGTCGAGAATAGTAAATATGAGTGAATGGAAAGTAATAATTTTGCGGCATCGAAATATATCGCGCCTGATGAATCAAGGGATCGACGATATTCGCGTGACATCTCGAGATGTAATGTATTTCATTTAGTACGCATTTCATTTAGTAATATAATCAAGCAATTTCACAGAGGGGGGAGGGGGATGCACGTCTTTACATTAATATCGACATTTCCTTTACATTGTAAACTTACATTAATTATGTTGGATGTCACGAGATTTGCAGGCACGTATGCGCGAATGGTCCCCGTTTGTTCGTCGCGTTGTTTAAGTTCAACAGCGACGATTGCTCAATAAATATCAACATCGACAACATTTTATTCAATTTGTTTTTTTATTCTCTTTCTCTCTTTTAACTGACATGGTACGTCTTCTCAGATTTTTATAAATTCTTTTGTTGTAACAACGAAGTGTTATGATTAAAATTGTTGATTAAAATTTCATTTCATTGTTTATGCTTAAAAAAGCTTACCACAAAAAATAATGAAAAATATGTGTATATAATTTATATAAATATAGACAACAAATGTATTTATAAGTATACAATTTTTTATATTTATTCTTTATATTTCTGATTCTATTTTTTATATTTCTGTCTTTCAAAACTATGAAATAAAATTGCTGATGTCAGTTAAAAGCTAAAACTTCAACGTTTAGTTTAAGACACAGAGTTATCTTTATATTGTAATGTTTTTACTGATAGATATATAAAATATAATATATAGATGTGTTGTGAAATAATAAAAAATGTAATAAAGAGAATATTATACGACTATATAATTGCTTTACTGATCCTTTAGGTAAATTCATTGATAAGAATTAGTCCAATATATTATAAGATATATTAGAAGCTTTTAAATTATCTAAAAATAATTATAAAATTCCTTTATATATTGTTGCTTTATAAAGTAATAAAATTTCAAGGCATTTAATATAAAATATATTATAATAGTTAATTAAACTATTATAAATATTACAAGTGAAATACATAAAAAAAAATTATTTGCAGTTTATTAATTTTCATTTAATGTACGACGATTAATATTCTGGTAAGAGAAGGTATTCTTGTTAGCATAAAAAATATGATTAAATTGTTTGAATAATTTAATAAATGATATTACTATTCTGAATCTGTTAAATGAGTTTTAATTTAAGATATAATGATTAAATTAAATAATTTTCATATAATTGTGTGTTAAATCGATTTTTAATTTATAAATAACATCAATATAACGGAGATGCGAGGAATTTCAGATACTATCATAGTTAAATCAAAGACAGTAAATATGAATAAATAGTAAATATGAGTGAATTAATTTCTATTTATATCTAAACTTAATTTAGCTACGATTCTTAAAATGTAAATATTACAAAATGATGAATGTGAAATCTTGTTCTTCACACATCGGCGTGCAATGTCTCGAAGACAATAGCACCGCTCTCGTATTATGCGGTGTTGTCGCATAAGATAACACTTGACTCCTCCGTTTATCCTCTAATCCGCGAAAGCTACGCGAATAATCCGATTAAGTATGACGCTATTGTGCTTTGTGAGCTAGAATGCGTCAGTTTTTTTTCACGGCTATCTGGAACAATCCCATGAACGTTCGGCAGTTAACTCGAATCGCGGATACAATGGCCGACAATAAAAAGTATCTATATATAGTGAAACTTCACCGAGTGTGTGAGATGAAAATGCTAACGATCGAGCGGTTTCAGGGCACATTCCAACACGGTGCCAGGTTGCGGTACATAGGTACGTTTTATCGTGTTACCGCGGTTGCATCGCGTGTCATAGGTGTCGGCTTCGAGTGCATCGAGACTTTCGAGTATACCGTGAAAAGATATCGAGGACACGTGCGTTGAATATACCGAAAAGTATGAAAATGTGCGGGGATTTCTTGGGGGATAGATTTTTCAACAAATGTAGAAACGTTTCTTTCGTAATAAAAATATCGATAGAGAGGCTATTAATGATTACAACTCTAAAAATTTTAATATTGGAGAGAGAAAGAGAGAGAGAGAGAGAGAGAGAGAGAGAGAGAGAGAGAGAGAGAGAGAGAAGAGATATCTTAGTTAAAATTCATCGCGAGTCAAAGTTTTATTTTCCCAAAGAGTTTCTCGTTGCCAATAGCTTCTAACCTGAAAATTAGATTAGCTTTCCAACATTGTTGTAAATAAAAGCTCAACTTCGTCAAACTCGAATAATATCTCTACGATATCATTCAGGCTTTCTAGCATATCTTGTGTACATAGAGATAAATGATTCCTTGCTTTGAGTATATGTGATCTCTGCAAGCACATCGGAGATTATTTATTTAATCTCGATTTCTATAATTGTATTCTTGAGTTTTCTTTACGAAGGAAAGCATTTTCTTCACGAAATCTTTCTTCCTGACAATTTCTCGTACATCGAAAAACACGACAAGAGTTTTCGTAGCCTACGTCTATGCATTCGATGACGTAACTTAACGTTTAAGCTCGAGGTATAAACCATTTTCCTGGCGTTCCCCGCGATCGTTTCGGTTTAGTAAAGTTTGTTTACGACTATCGTATCTCGTTATGGAAGATCGGGAACGATGCGAGAATCCGTAGTCGTAGTCGTCGTCGTTGTCATCGCCGTCGTCGACGACGTCGCTGTTATCGTCGTTATCACTTCTTGTTGGACCAACATACGGACGCGTTATCCTGGCTGTTGTAAAGGATTACTGCGCGCAAGAGAGCGGAAGTTCTTTAAAGGGAAAAAATGCGGATTTACTTACTTCGCAATGCGAACGCAAGGAAGAAGAAGATTCTACTACACCACACGCGTTATACTATCAACGTACATATATCCTCGCGTATACCTCACCACTTGTGAATATCGTTAATCCTGGAACGAATTTCTTGAAAGAGCACGCGTCGCACACCACGGTTTAAGTATAATATATTCCGGCGCAAATGTTAAAGCTCTCGTTGTATATTCAACGCCGTATATACGGGTATATGCTCATTAATAATCATAAGAACGCAGAAGCGCACCTCTAATTGCGTAATGGTGATCATGGTGATTAGAATTTAAAGAGAATATTCAGTTTGTTTGATGAAGAGATGAGATATCACTTCTAAAGTGAAATGATAGAAGATAAGGATAATTATGTATCTTCCGAAATTTATTATATTTGTTCGCGTCTAGTTATTTTAGAATAAAAATTTCATTTACTAATATATATTTTATTAAAATAAGCTTTTCATTATTATTTAAAAGATAAATTTGAATAGTTGTACCTTCACGAAATTTGTTATATTTGTTCGCGTCTAGTTATTTTAGAATAAAAATTTCATTTACTAATATGTATTTTATTAAAATAAGCTTTTCATTATTATTTAAAAAATAAATTTGAATAGTTGTACCTTCACGTAACTGTTTACATTTGTATCTAGTATTTAAAGGTTTCCTTCTTGTTCTTTTCCCATTACACCTTCATGTTGCAATAGCTTGACTAAGCGATATAATAAAAGTTTTACTTAAACAAGGATTCTTTACATTTTTTTTGCTGCCAATTCGTTTTAAGAATAATTTAACTGACTATATAATATCTGTTTCTACCAATGTGGATTAATTTTAATTCCCTTTTAGTTTTTATTTTTTATCTTTTTCTCATTCTTAGAACTGAAGGAAAATAAAAAGTAAGTTAAAACCAGGATTAAAATTAATCTACATTGGTAGAAATGGATTCTACACATGTTTTATCGGAATAAACGTTTTATTTCATTATTATTCTGAATATTAAAGTAGAAACATGTATATCTTTATACAACTGTTTACACTTGTACTTAACATTTAAAACATTTTCTTCTTCACTGTGTTTTCGTATTACTACAGTTTAGTTACGCAATGTAACAGTTTTACTTAAGCAACGACGA